ATTATTAATTATATTTTGTATTTGCTTTAAATCAGCTCGTTTAAAAGAATTAAAACATGGCTTCGTGGTACTGTTACTAAGAACCTTTGAATTGCTTGGCAATTAGTTTGCATTAATGAATATTTACAAAACTTATGTGCAAGCTCAAAAATCAAACATAATATAGAATTATTTGATATGGAGCCTAGGCGCATACAATTTGTATTTAATGACCAAGAATCTCAATATTTTTTATAAAATTAGATAGTTAATATAATATTAATGATTTATAAGATTTTTTTCGGCGCTCTTGATGTTTCAAGTAATATTTTGATGAAAATATACAGTTAATCATATCATGATGTTATTAGTTTGTAATAAAACTATAAAATACTATRCCTAATATGTTATGGTTGAGTATAAATATATGTATAATATACRCCTTGCCCAGTTGCCCCCACCCCACCCCGGATGAAAATGTCCACGGGAGCCCTTGCGCGAGATGTTACAGTAATTTATTCGTTGTTAATACTTCCGTTATTTTTACAACTATATAGAACAATATATTATTATAAGTGTTACCTATACAGTAGTAAGTATTACGTATTTGAATATGAATAGATCTATTGTAGCTTTAAGTCAAAAAAGATTTTTAATTCGTATTGCAATTAAAAATCAATCGTCACATTATCATTATACAGTGTACAATAGTAGGCAGTAGCCGAGAAGGTACGTCGTAACACTTCTACAGTTCTACCTACAAATAGTTAGGCGTAGGTACCTACATTAAATACAGAATAATAATTTATAACACGTTTTTTGACATATCAATTGTATTGTTTTAACTTTTTTTTTTATCAATATATTAATGTATATAATTACACAAACAGTTCCGTTGTAAATTGTTAAAACATTTTTCGTTTGATCATTGACGTCAACAACCTGTACAGGCCACAACAAACTACAGCGTGCCTAGGTGTGTCTTCAATTTGATCTATTTTTAAATCTTTCTCTCAAATAAGTCAGTAATTTTCCTACGTTCGACGAGTGGAACTTCAATAGCATAATATACTATTATAATATAATATAATTGTATTGTATTTTAATGTATAATCTTTTCTTGAGGCGTATAATACACTATATGCATATTATTGTAAATGGATAATAGGCCAAAGTGTAACACTTATTATAGAAATACTACGTAGGTACCTAATATTGTCGTAATTTTTAAGGTACGCTTTACACTCGGCAAATTATCATCAAATGGAATATAATATTATATAGGTGCCCATATCATATTTATGTGTGAATATTTAGGCTAATTGTTAGGGACAATAATTGTACAGTGTAGTAC